GGGTCGATGAACTGACCAGAGATGCGATGGAAATTGCATCTTCATAACCACTTTGGGTATCAACACTTGGAGTTTTCCTCACTAGTTCAACCAGAGGCATATGATGAAGATATGAAGATAAGATAGAAATAACACCCCATGGAAGACAGTTGTGGATGACCAATCAACAGCTGGATTCTACAAAGTTTATCTTGTTTTGATGATTATCCATGTATAGATAAGCTTTATCTTTTCTTAAAAGATTAGCTAAATAGTCTCACTAGATAGTTATCTTCTTAGCTCAATTACTAGTATAAATAGGTGGTTAGGCCTATTGTAATCTAAGACTCTTTTACGTTTTTCACAATCATAGAAATAAAGTGAAACCTTTGACACTCAAGTATATTCTTTGAATGTTCATCAATTGTTCTTGAGTGTTCATCATTTTATTCATCCAAACACTATAATTTGGTTATTCTTAACTTAATTATTAGTGTTATTGAGAGATCTGGGATCAACAATTGGTATCAGAGCTGATTGATTGTTTTTCCAATCAAAATGATCATCAAAATCTCTCAATCTCGCCTTTTTTTTCTTTCTAAAACTCATAATTCTTCTCTAAAACGTAAGTTCTCTTCCAAAATCTTAAATGGCCAACTGGAATTCCGCTTACAGTGTTGGTTCCCTCACCAAACCTCCAACTCTTCAAAGAGAAGAGTATCCACAATGGAGGATACGGAGGGTAAACTTTCTAGAAGGGATGGATAGAAATCTTCTGTGATCTATCATGGAGGGTCCCTACGTTTCACAGACTCTTGTTCCGAGAGTCCCAGGAACAAATACCACAGCAGAAATTCCTGCCTATTACATGCCCAAGAATGAGAAGAATTGGGATGAAGACGATATAGAGCGCATGGAGACTGATAAGAAGGCCTGTGTGTCCACAATATCTGATCAATTCTTCAATATCTTCATATCAATCATGGCAGATTCAGATTTATCATTAAGAACACCAAGAACACTTGAGAGAAAAAGTCAATGTATTCAATATGGTCAAACTCTCATTACACGTATGAATATTACAATTAAGCTCTTCTTCCACTAATTACAAAGGCTTAACCATATTTATATGGTCAAACATACAAAGACAAAGTCAAAGTCAAACCTATAAGAAAAGTCAAACACGCT